CCCCCCCCCCCACTGGAGAAATAGCCAGGATTTCTCTAAGACTTATGACAAGGACTGCCTTTAGCCACAAACATTCCAACATCTGTTTTCTCTGGTCCTCCCCCCACGCTGGCCTCAGCCGCCTCCCTGCTTCCTTATATCCAACAGTGCCCACAGCCCCTCTGGCAGAGCTGGGAAACCCCACCAGAGACCAGTCAAGGTGGCCGGAGACAGAGGGAAGTCGATGAAGGGGTGTGTCCACGGTGGGCTGGGCTGGGGCTGGGAAAACCCAGCTGTCCCTCCATCACCCTGGACGGGGAGCTGGCGTGAGGAGAAACTTGCCCACCTCTTGCTCCCTCCGGGCCAGGCTTGGGGGAGGGGCCAGACTGCCTGAGGGGCCTTGGGCCACCTTCTGCCACCCCAGGCCTGGAATCTGGCACTGGGAGCTGAGGCTGACGCTGCATTGCTGAGGAGTGACAGGGCCGGTGCCCAGGCCCAGCCAAAAAAGGAGGCAGCCCCCAGGGACAGCGGCCTTGTGGCCCTGGCCTAGCCTGGCCCTTGATGGGTGCCAGGGGGCCTATCGCAGGGCGAGGTATCAAAGGCTGGGAGGGTGAAACATACAGAGTCGTACATGGGCGCGCGCGAGCGTGCCTGTGCCACACCACAAGGAGATACCGGAAAATACACACCCAAAGACACACACACACAGAGCGAAACACAATGAGACACAGACACACACAAATAACTATACCTCCGGTCCCCGGCACACACATCATGTGATGAGGACAAGTTAGACCACACCCCCCCACATACACACTCAGCCCCCTTCGGACCCACACACCCAGCCGGCGACACTCACATACCTCTCCCTCCTGCCATCCTGCCAGCTCCCCAGGCTCCCTGCATCAGGGCGGCGGCAGCATCTCGGCCAGCCTCCGCCCTCGCCCAGCTCCGGGCTAATCCCCACTGACCACCGGGCTGGCCCAGCCTCCGATCCCCCCCACCCCCAGTCTGCCCTCCCTGTGGCTGCCCTCGGCCCCCACCGGCGCTCTCTCGAGCGTGCGCTCGCTCGCGCGCGCTCTCTCTCTCTCTCTCTCTCTCTCTCTCAGGAGGAGGAGGGAGGGGAAGATGGGTGTGGAGGGGCCTCGCCGCGTCGGCGGTGGCGTCAGCAGCTGCCGAGGCCCCATTGGCCTCCAGCCTTGGCTCCCAACCACAGGAATGCCTGGGCCCCACCCTCTGGCTGGCCCAGGATGGTGGGGGGCCGGGGCAGGGCCCCAGATGCTGACATCTGGGGCTGCCTGCCCACCCGAACCTCGGACCTCAACCTCGGACCTCTCTGGGTAACAGAGCTCAAGGCTGCTGCTCTCCCCACCCCTGCCGTCGTCCTCCGAGAAGGCCGGAGGGATCCTGGGAAGCCCGAGATGCCGCCTTGTCACTCCCTCATTGCTGGCCTCGCCTCAGCCTGGGGGAAGTGTACCCGCAGGGCCTTTGAGACTTGTGGGGAGCCCATCCACCTCTCTGGGCCTCCAGCCTTACCTCCCCCTCCCCAGGAGGGACAAGGGGACAATCCAGGTCAGAGGGTGGAGGTTCCCAGAGGGGCATGGTGCCAAGCATGGCACTGTGATTACAGTGATTATGCGAGCACATCCGGGGCAGAAGCCAGCCCGGCGGCTCCCAGGGCCTCCTGGGTTTGGCCCTCAGCCTTCCCCCAGGGGGCAGTGACCTTGGGGGCAAGCAAGCTGGCATCTGGCTGAGACCCATGAGATCAGGAAACTGGACACTGGCCAGAGAGGACTGGCCTGAGCTCTGGGCCAGGACTGGGATCGGGGTGCACAGAGAGGGTGCAAGTGTGTGTGTGCATGTGTGCACAGCGTGTGTTGGGCAGGGTACTGTGTGTGCAGGCTGGGTGCCTGCCCTGTGTGTGGCGGCCCAGGGCCAGGTTCTGGGTGTTGCTGATGTGCCCACAGAGGGAGGGGCACCTGGCCCATGCATCCGAGAGTGTAAGCTTGGGTGCTGGGCCGGTGCCGGGCCTGCAGCATGCTGTGATGTCTGTGGGCACACATGCTGTGACCACAGCGAGCCTCTGTCACGGCAGTGAGTGTTCACGTGGTGATGAGAAGTCAGCGTACGTGTGCTGTGACACCCAGTGGTGTGTTGTGCTGTTTTGATGTTTGTGTACTGGGAGGCTTCAGGATGTGTGGGGATGTGCCTGTGTGTTTCGCCGCACAGGCCTGGGGCGGTGTATCTGGGATACTGCGTGTGTGTTACCACGTCGTGCGGTGTATGGTGAGCTGGATGACAGGTAGGTGCCATGGGGCTCTGTTGTGTGGCTGTGTATCTAGCACGTTCTGCTTTATATAGCGTGGTGCATGGGGTGTTGTGTGAACGGGAGCACTCGAAGGTGGGGTGGAGTGTGTGTGTGTGTGTGTGTGTGTGTGTGTGTGTGTGTGTGTGGACACATCTACAGGAGACACGCTCACTCGGGGCCAGGCAGGGACGGGGTGTGGAGAAAAGGCTCCTGGGAGCCGACAAGAACATGCCAGTCTGGCAGGGCCTGCTGGGCCACCCTCCTTCCAGATACCCCGGCAGGAATCCCGCCTGCCAAGGCCGCCTCCCCCTCCCCCAGCACAGAGAGCAGCCCCGATTGAAGCAACAACCAGCCTCAGCACAGGGATGGACCTGGTAGCCCCGATTGGGCAATGCCGGGCTGGTGCTGCCCCCGACACTCTTCTTTGCCTCCCAAAGTGTCCAATGCAGAAGGGAGGCCCGAGGGGAAGGGATGTGTCGTGCCCCCAGGCCCTAGGGGCCCTCCACCTCAGACAGCAGGGAAGGACTCACCAGCTGGAGGATGTCTTCGTCCTTGGGCATGATGGAGAGCTCCAGAGTATCATCGCTACAGAGACAGGGCAGGGGGTCAGGCCAGGCTGAGGCAACAGGGTCTGGGAGAACAGGGATCCTGGTCGCCAGGGCACCCCCCCAGGGTCAAGGGGGTGGGGTGCAGGGACTCGGTGAATGGGCTGGGAGCTATTACAGGAGAAGGGAGGCAGGGGGCGCTCACCTATTCTGGATCAGAGCTATGACCTGGGAGTAGGTCTTCCCAATGACGCTCTCCCCATTCACCTTCACCAGCCGGTCTCCTGGAGAAAAGGGGCAGGGTCGCAATGTGAGCAGGCCAAGGGGTGGCAAAGGCCCTTCTTAAGAACCCCTGTCCCGGGTATGGATGAGAGCACCAGAACAGGAGCTTCCCCCACACCCAGATCTGAGAATCCCATCCTAACCAGAGGGTAAGGAGAAGAGACCCAGGGAAGCACAAGGAGCTGGGTACCCAGGACAGCTCACCTGTGCGCAGGCCCGCTCTGTGGGCGGGGCCATCATCCTTCACATTCTTGACAAAGATGGTATCCATGGGCTCCAGGCGGTGGTGCCGGGGGGAGGGTCCTGGTGGGCATCAGCCAGGTTAGCTGGGGGTGGCTGCTGAAGGCCACACCCATGCACAGCTACACACACAGGGGACACACGCTCAGAGAAGGATCACACTCACAAGGACACAAGTATGGACCTGAACGTTCACAGAGACACAGATGCATGGGGGGGGAGGGCGCACAAGAGGACACACCCCTGGCAGAACAAAAACCCATGTGGAAGAAAACCTACACTGACACACAGGGTCACTCCTTAAATGCCTCTCACGCCCCAGCACTGTGCCAGAAAGCAGACTAATACAGATGGATGGACAGACGTGGGCCTTGCCTTCCTGGAGCTCCCCGGCCGGCGGGGCAGAACGTCTGCACCCACAGACCTGGGGAGAGCCACAGAAAGGCCCCGCAGCTCACAGACGCTCAATGTCCACACCTCCCCCCCAACCCTTCCCCAGAGTCGGGGGGGGGTCTAAGCAGAGGCCTCCAGATCCCGAGATGGACACTCACCCCCTTGTGACATCACATTACACCCCAACAATTATCCTCTGCAGCTAACTGTCTCCATCAGAGGAATGGCCTGTTCTAAGTCAGCTGGCTCTTGCCCTCACCCCCATGGGCCTCCTTGACGGCTGCCCAGCAGAAGCCCCTGTGGCAGAGAAAGAAGGCTGCCCATCTTGAATACCCTGGGTGGCAGAAAGGGGCATCCTGGGCTAGCAAGGGTGACAGCCAGGGGAGTTAGGCCCACATCTGAAAAGATAAAGACCTCAGGGCTCCCCTTACACCCCAACAGAACCCCAGTGTCTCTATCCCTGAGACAGCCATTGGTCAGCTGCACCCTATCACCAGCCCCCAGGCTCTGCAGCCCTGTCTGTGCCTCAGTCTAGGCTGGGAGTAACTCCCAGGGGCCAAAGGCCAGGTCTTAGAGAGCCATCTGCTCCCCAGAGCACCCCCTGCTCCCAGTGTGGAATGGACAGGTCCAGAGGGAGAGAAATGTGAGAAAAGAAAAGAAGGATTGAGAGAGAGAGAGAGAGAGAGAGAGAGAGCGAGCAGATATCCAGAGTGGACACAGAGAAGAGCAAAGACTGGAACAACAGTGGCGGGGCGGGGGGGTAGCAAAATCCAGGCCGACTTGGGGCAGAGGGGGGAGAATAGAAGCTGTAGGACGGGTACTCAGCCCCAGCCCTGGCACCCACCCCCACCACTCCTTACCTCCTCCTCCTCGGCCTCCATTCTCTTCCTCCTGCAGGGGACAGAGAGGTGGGTGTGGACCCTCCATCCAGCCCTCAGCAGCTCCACCTGGGCGGGCCCCTCAAGCTCCCCCACCCAGCAGCCTCCCTCTTATCTTCCTGCAACCAGCCCAATGCCCAGAGGGGGCGGGGGGGGTGTCAGTGGGGACATCAAGTCCCAGGCATATTCCCCAGTAATATGAACACTCTCTCGTGACTGCTGATCCCACAGCCTTGTATCTCAGCCATCTGAAAGTCCCCAGTCCGATGGGGGACCCACGACCCCTTCCCTTGGGGAGCTCAAATCCAGATGGAGGCCGTTCCAAACGTGCTAACCCGCAGAGAGGATCCAGGCAGACACTGATAAGCAGGCAGGACAAGTGCAAACAGTGGCTATCAGCTCTTAGAGAATGGAAGGGAAGGCCTGATTAGCACCCCTCTGGGGGAGGGGATTTAAGGCAAGTTTGAGGAGGGAGGGGAAAGGGCGCTCTGGGGCAGGGGAGGGGTGTATGAAGGCGGGCGCTGGGTGGCAGAAAGAAGCAAGCATTTGTGGGACTGGATCAGCTGAGCTGAAGGATAAAGAAAGCAACACCAACAAGTGCCAGAAATCAAACTAAGGCGTTGGGGGTAGAAAGGAGAGAAAGAGGGAGACAGTGAAGGTTCCTGGGTGGGAGAGAGTGGATGTGAAATACCAGTTAGGAAGAGGATTCTAACATCTAGCAAGGCTAAGAAATGGAGTCCAGGAGACCCACTAGGGAGACCTCCGGGATCATCCTCGTAGTGAGGGGGAGAGTACCGGATTTGGGGAGGAAACAGAAATGAGGCAAAGGTGAAGGTCAGGGAGACGGGACAGGGCAGCAGGACGTGGCACATCAGAGCTGGATGCGATGCTGGGTGTCATCTGATCTACCATGCTCCGCAGACCATCCATCCCACAGCAGATGACAGGGTGTGACTTGTCCAAGGCCACGCAGAGGTAGTGGCAGAAGCAAGGCTGAAACCCAGGACTCTCTGGCACCCCAGCCAGGACACGAAGGCACTGGGCGCGGCTGGAGAGCAGTCCCTCTGCCCCTGCCCCTCCCCGCGTGGAGTGTGCATGCCAGCTGATGTGACCTGACAGCAGAGTGAGCTGGTGGCAGAGGCAGACAGATGCATTTAGACGGCTGAGCTCCCGGCGGGCTGCCGCCCCTGGGCAGGTTCTGGAAATGGGATGGAGCCTGTCCGTGGCCTGCCCTGCCTGGGGTCTTCCAGCGCCCCACATGCACGAGGTCTCTCTGAGACAGGCCTACCACCCAGCCTCGACCACTCAGGCTGCTTCTGTTCCGGTCACCCCTCAGCAGGGTCCCCTGAGAGAAGGTGGCAGGAGCCAGGCAGGAGGGACATTCTGGGGAAAAAGGACCGGAAGGACTGGACGTTCCAGGGACCTAGGAGGCTGAGGTCCTTGGGTGTCAAGGGGGCGCTGAGCCCTTCTCACACACCATCACCCTCCGCTTACACTCTTAAGCACAGCTGCAGACAATGGGAATCATTTATGCAGGTGCTCCCAGATTCACACACAGATGAGGGACGAGATGCATACTTACAGATACCCGTATGCACATATCTAGATAGACAAACACACATGCACATGACCAGTATACTGCGCACCCAACTGCACACAGAGAGCCATGCAAGTCCACAGACACAGACAGTGAAACCCAAGGCCTTGGTTCTCTGGCAGGTGGGATTGAGCTCCCCAAGGGAGAGCCCCCAACAGCTCTCCCCAGCCCTGAGGGAAGGGGAGAATGGGGTTCATTGACTCCAAAATAAATCTGTTTCCTCTCCTGCTGGGAGAGAGGTGGGGGAGGGAGCAGGGCCCTCCTGGGGAGCCCTGGTTCCTGCCTAGGGCCCCCTCACATCTTCCTGCCTGCCTGCTTCACTGGCAGGGAGGCCGTCCCCACTCAGCCCACACTGTATGCTGGGCGCAGCTACCCTGGTTCCTGGACTCAGAGAACCTGACATTTATATTAGGGCCGGAAGGGCTCTTGGGGGTCAAGTAGATAAATGCCCTCACATTACAGCAGGAGAAATGGAGCCCAGAGAGGAGTGACTCTACCTCAAGATCCACAGTGAGGTAGGAGTTGCAGCAGGATTAGAACCCAGGGCACCCTCCTCCCAGCCTGGTGCTCTCCAGAGCACAGGGCCTAGGCCAGTGCGGGCCGGGGCACTCCAGGAGTCCCAGAGGTGGGTTAAAACAGACTCCCCAAGAGCTCAGGCCAGGGAGGGGACAACAAACCCAGCTCAGAAGTGGCCAAAGAGGACAGAGTCCCCAGAACTCCATGTCTCAGAGAAGGTTTTTCACTTTCCAGAGGCCAAGAGTCTGGGGGTGGGCGTGAGCATCCTGGCTCCCCCGACAAGTTCCTTGCCCAGAACCATCCACCCTGCCCCTTCTCCTGGGAAGACCAAACCCAGAGCAGTTAGGGAGCTTGTCCACACTCACACAATGCTAATGACCCAGCCAGGGCTGTCCCAGCCCCTCAGTGACCCTCCACCCAGGCCATAGAAGAAGGGCTGTGGAGGGCGCGGGGCAAAGGGATCTCCCCTCCCCGCTCCCCATTAAAGCTTCCTCAGGCAGGCCAGGGCAGTGGGGCCAGGCAGGTGTACCTTCAGGCTGCACTGCACGGCGGACTCGGGCGGGTACACGATGAAGTGGCGCAGGGTGAAGCCAAAGCCATCCTGGAGACTTTTGTGCAGCAGCAGGGTCCGCGGCCCCTGCCAGGGGAGGGGGCGTCCAGGCGAGCACCCATCTCTCGGGCCCAGGGGCAGCTGTGGGAGCACAGGCAGACAGGGTTGAGTGGCCACGTGGCCCACACTCCCAAGTCTGCACACTGCCTCCCGCGGCCAGGAGGAGGGACTGGGGAAGGGGGTGGGGGGCGTGTGCCCCCAGGGGGAGTTCCAGGCCCCCTCCCCTGCTCCTGACCTCCTCCTCGCCCCCTTCCTTCCTCTGCCACCCTCATCAGCCCAAAGCTGCTGCTTGCTTTCTTTCCCCTCCATCCCCTCACAACGGCTTTGCCTCCAGGGAACCAGCTCCCCCCAGCCAGCCAGGTATTCAGTCGGGTCAGTTGGGCAAATGTTCACTGAGCACCTACTATGCTCCAGGAACTGGACACACAGCCTTCTCGCCTGGGAAGTGCCTGCAGCCATCTGCGCTCACTGCCGCTGCTGTACCATCTCTCTCTCTCTCTCTCTCTCTCACACACACACACACACACACACACACGCACACTATGCAGACAGACACATCCACACGCACTCCTGCAGACGGAACACACCACACACCCAGAGAAGCACACTCTCGTGCCAAGGTGCACACGGATGGACCCACAGAGGAGTATACACAAGCACACCTAGCTTAGACAAACACGTGCACACACAGTCGCACATAATCAGGGTCTCACACACGCACGTGCATACAGACCCAGGCACACGGCACATGCCACAGACATACAGACACATACACGCACACGCATCCTTCAGGAGCAGCAACAGCAACAGGTGGGGGGCTGGAGCCACGAGGGAGCGGCCTGGACAACTGAAGGGACTTCCTGAGGCTCCGGAGCCCAGCCAGAGGCCTGGCTATTCCCTGGATCTAAGAGGGGAACTGGGTGGGGGTGGGAGAGACCCTCCGCTGCCCTCTGGCCAGCCCGATGGAATACTTGGGATTCCCCAAGATGGCATGGCAGAGGATGTCTGAAGACCAGGGTTTGGGGGTACCCAGGTCCGCTTCTGGGGCAAGCGGGAGAAGAGCACGGACATTACCTGAGAGGCGGCTCGGACTTCAGGTTCCCTGCTCAGACGCAGAGAGGGATAGTGGGTGGGCGACAGAAGGGTGTCAGACAGATGCATGCCCAGGGCGGCGGACAGCAGGTTGGAGAAGATGGTGAAAAGCCAGGATGCCTCCCTCGGGGCTCTTTAACTTCCAGCCGCGGGCATCCTAACCTGAGGGCCCTCATCCAAACCTCAGAGGGCAAGAAGCCCCTTCACCCCCACCCTTGACAGTCCTCAACCCCGCACTCCTCCTTGGCACCAGGCAGGAGTCATCAGGGGAACAAAGGCAACTGGGTGTAGAGGGAAGAAGTCCACCAGCTTTGGGGTGAGGACTCCCTCTGCCCCACTAAGTCCCCTTAAGACGGGGGTCTTAACAGCTGGAAAAAGTTCACTTTTGCGACTCGGATGAACTGATACTAAGACACTCCTTCATGAATCCATCCCCTAGCCTGTTCACACTTGTGGTGGAAGGCAGCCCTGGGCCCAGCCCTTTTGCTAGGGATTTCTTTTTTTTCTTTTCCCCTTTTTTAAGATTTTATTTGTTTGAGAGAGGGCGCACGAGCAGGGGGTAGAGGGAGAGGGAGAGGGAGAAGCAGGCTCCCAGCTGAGCAGGGAGCCCGATGTGGGGCTCGATCCCAGGACCCTGGGATCATGACCCGAGCCAAAGGCAGACGCTTAACGACTGAGCCACCCAGGCGCCCTTGCTAGGGATTTCTGTGTGGGGTGGGAAGTGGGACTGTAGTCAGACAGGCTTGGGAGAGGGGGTAGAACCTCAAGTCTCAGAAGATGAAAGAAAAACGTGACAGCGGCGGTAGACTTGCTTCATGCAGTCCCATTGAACACAGCCAGGTGGAAGGTACAGGGGGCCCGAGCGAGGTTCCAGGCCAGGGAGACCATTCTAATCATATCCATCTGGAAAGCTACCAGATGAGGTTGTGAGTGCTCATTCCCCTGAAGGGTTGGAGCAAAAGCTGGGTGCCCCCCCCCCCCAGTCCGGGAGGCCGTGGCTGAGATTCCAGCTTGGGACAGGAGGCCCAGAGATGACCCTTCGGCTCCTTCCACTTGTAGCTATACCCCCTCCAGTTCCACTGAGCCCCACACCCCCATGGGGGGTCTGAAGAGTCCAGAGCAGAAAATTCTCTGGGAATTCTGTTGAGATCTGAAATCCCCTGGATTTCCTATCTCTGCTGACCTGGCAAGGAACTGATCAGGAAGAGAAGAGAGCCTGGGGGACCCTCCCTGCCTGCTCCTACCAGAAGCCCCTGCTCTTCCCCAGTGTGGGCTGCCTCCCCTGCACGCCCTCTACCCGGGCTCAGAACGCAGGGCCCATTGTTTTGCCGGTGTCCTGGATTAAGGTTTAAGCCACCAGCTGCCCCAGTGACGAGAAGTGGCTGGGACAGGTCCCCACACGCCCCCCACCCCTCCTCCAACACACATCCTGCCTGGGGCTGCCAGGTGCCTGGGGGTGCCCGTCTCTGGGGGCCTGGCTGCAACCCAGGGCAGGGGGCAGGCCTTCTTCTCTCAGGTCCCCTCTTGGCCCAAACACCACTGGCACCCCCTCCCTTATCTCTGCCTCTCCCTTTCCTCTTTTCCTTCCTCCCAGTCTCCCTTCCCCCCATCCCTTCCACTCACTGAGAATGTCAGTGTGTAATCCCCCTGCGGCAGCTACTATACCCCTGCCTGAAGAGGAGACACCACGGCCCCCGTCTGTAGCTAGATCTGGCGGCTCCCCTGTGGGAAGTTCTTCCTTGGATTTAACCACAATCCTTCATGCTATGATGCACACATTTCCTCTCCTCCCCTCCAACCTGGGACAACGCTGGGTCTGGCTCTCATCTTGACAGGGAGGGAGCGGGTAGACACAGAAAAAGAGAAGGAGCCAGCAACAGGAACAGAAAGGCGACTAGACTGGGAAGGGGTTCAGCTCACACACATCCCCACTTCTGCCTCTCTGGGAGAGGCACAGAGACAAGGGAATGGAGAGGGAGAGGCTCGGGGGGACACAGGGGCATCACTGATTACCGCTTTCCTGGCCCAGATCTATCTCCAAATGTTATCAGCCTCGTGTCAGGAAAGAGACATCCAGAAAGGCCAGCTGATGGTGGGAAGAGGGCAGATGGCCCCAGGGCCACAAGTTAGACAGAACTGGACACGTGGTGGGTTAGCAACACCGGGAACCAGAACCCAGGAGTCCTGCTCCTCCCCGCTAGGAGCATAAAGAGGTCATTGCGGGGAGCACAGCGTTCATGCTGGGCATGGCGCCCACTGTGACTCACGCCCTACCAGCCCCGTCGATCCCGGACATCAGACACATTGTCCCCACCCCCTATCTCCAGCCCTGTCAGTTCTCCCCCTGAGATCACTCATTACCTGCCACCTCAGCCTCCTTTGCCCACTAGGAAGCCCTGCTGTGCCTGTGCCCACCGCCCCTACCAGGGAGCGGGCCGAGTGGTGCCCTCCACTCCACTTACTAACACCCTTGCCCGCCTCTGACTCGGCTCCCTGCCCCAGCAGATCCCCCAGGACTCCGTGCCCCAACATCTCTTCAAACAACCCTGGTCCCTTCCATCCTTCCACGGCGTATAAACCAAGGGGCTTGAGCCACTGCAGGCCACCACCCAGACTGGGGGTCCACATCCAGCACTCCCGGAAAAGCTCCCAGCCACAACCTGCCACCCTCGCCCGCATCTCTCCGGCTCCTCACTCACTCCCCACTCCGGGGCACGGTCCCAGAATGCAGAGCGCACTCGGCTCAAGGATCCAGAGGAGTTGGTGGCCCGATCCCACCCGCCCCGACAAGGCCCGACCCCTGCTCTCCGCGCCCCCACCCCCCGCCGGCCCGGCAGCCCGGCTGCGCTCACCCTGGCGCGGCGCGGCCCCGGCGCGCGGCGGTCGCTGTGGGCGAGGCAGGGCAGCCAGAGGCAGCGCGGCTCCGGGGCGCTGCAGTCCACGCCGACGGCGCGCTCCCAGCGCCAGCCCCGCGCCCCCGCGCGCTCCACGCGCCACACGGCGCTACCCACGAGCGCCGCGGCCGGCGGGGGCCCCAGGGCCCGGCCTCCGCCCCGGCCCCAGTGCGCCGCGGGCCGGGCTTCCGGAGCGGGGCGCGCCGCGCGGGGGCCCCTGGCTGCTCCACGGCGCCCGGCCGGCGGCGTCCTCGGTCCCCCGGGTGGTGGCAGGCGGGCCCCGGGGGTCCCCGCCCGCCCCCCGGAGCCGCGGGCCCGGGACCCAGGGGCCCCGAGGGGACGGACGGCCCGCGCGGACGGCGGCAGGACGGCAGGAGCAGCGCCGCGCCTCCCGCGCCTCCTGCGCCTCCCGGCTGAAGGCGCCTGAGCCCGGACACGCCGGCGAGTCGCGCAGGGCAGACACCTCCCCCTCCGGGGCGGCCCCTGTGCGCGGCCGCCCCGATCGCACACACACACACCCACACACACACGCGGGAGGCACTATACAGCGCCCCCGCGCAGCCACACGCTGCACACCCCGTATACCGGCACGCACGTACACCCCCCCACTCTGCCACTCACGACGAAAACTCACCCTGTGCCCCGGTCCACACACGTTGTACTCTAGGGCACACAAGCGCATCCAGCTTCACGTGCCCGAGAAACACACATTCAATCAGCACACATGTTCCTCACGGATGCACACATGTAAACACACACCCTACCCACCCTGTACAGGCCCACACCACACACACACACACACACATCTATACACCCGATACTCTCCCATCCACACACACACACACTCACACTCCCCCTCGGCCCACAGACCCCACATAAGCACACTGTTCCCCCTCACAAATACATTGTGTGTAGACACCTTTCCATATGCATACATACTTTGGACACCCTCCCATGCATCTATGCTCCACACACCCCACAGAGACATTTTTGCAAGCATACCCACTGCGTCCCTAAAAGCACACCAGATCCCCCTAGGTACCCACCCATACACTCCCTACATACCCAACAGAGATGCCCCACAAAGGCAGCTAGATGACATGCACACATTGCCCAGAGACACACATTCCATGCATAGATGCTGTACCCCCTCAGTTCACACACACACACACACACACACACACACACATGACCCAGCACTGAGAGCAGACTATCATAACACCCCCCACCGGAGTTATGATATCCCCTGTTGCTGCAGGTGGAGGCCCCACCACCTCTGGTAGGGAATTGTGACCAACCCTCTTCCCCAGGACCCCCTGCCCATTAGTTCCACGCAGAGGGGCCACGACCAAGCTGACAATGGACTCCAAGCTGGCCACCCCCGCACCCCAGCTTGTGAGTCAGACAGGAAGCCCATGTAGATAGCAGACCCTGCCTGCCTCCCCTTCCTGGCTCTCTCTTCCCAGGCCCCTTCCCGGGTGGGGCCGGCAGAGGCCTTGGCTAGTGGGTGTGTATTCGCCACCACCATTTCTGTCTCATTTGACGGTTCACAGCGTGTTTTCGCCACAGCCACTCACTGTGGCCCAGGGCCCCCCGCCATGACCCAATATTCAGGGAAGGCAATGAAGGCCCAAGAGCAGTCCGCTTGTCATGGAGGCATGGAACTCCAAGCCCAGGGCCCCTCACTCCAACTTTGGACCTTATACCCAAATTGTAGCCCGCAGCCAAGGAAGGGAGGCTGCAGTGGGGGAGCAACTCCAGCCCAACCCTGGTCCCAAATCTGGGAGTTCAGGGAGGAAGAGCCGTAGGGCTGGGCCCTTGAGGGGCAGCCACCAGAAGGGAGAAGCCTGCAGAAGGGGTACCTCCCCCCGCCCGCCCCCGTCCCGTCACCTGCGTCCTCTACAAGGACAGCCACGGTGGGGTGGGTGGGTCATGGTGGATCATCGGGTGGGAGGCAGTAGGGGAGGGAGATGGAGGGGCAGGAGGGGGGAGGGGCGGGGGCAGAGGGAGGAGAGCTAGAGGACTACAGGGCTGGGCAGGAGTGAGGGAGGGAGAAGGAAGGCAGGAGGAAGGGTGAGGCAGGCGAGTGGGGGCCGGGGAGCGGTTTTGTTCTCCCGTTTCCTGTTTGCCGCTTGCTGGGCCCCCAGTGCAGGGGCTGGACCCCCACCCCCACCCTGGCGGAAGCCGGACGGGAAGAGCAAGGCTGCCACCAGCGCTGAGTCAGGAGGGCTTAGGGGCAGAGTGGGAAAGAACCACAGTCAGGAGGAGCATGGAGCTGGCAGCTCCATTTGCACCCTCCCCCACCCCTCCATCCCTAGAAAACCAAGGATTCCGGGGCAGGCCCACTCCTGCCCTTGGCTGCCCTGTGCCTCCCGGTGCGGCCCCCACCAAAGTCAGGCCTTCAGAGACCAGCTGGGAGCCCCACCAAGCTGTCCTCGGCTCTGTCAGACTCTGTGGCCCCGAGCAGAGTGCAAGAGCCACAGGGAGGTCCTCCTTCAGAGTCTGGCCTGCTCTCCCAGCAAGCAGCCAGAAAGTCCTTCCAGCTGCCTGACTTCCTTGCCTCTTGCTGCAAGCCCAGTCCCTGGTTCTGAAGAAACGGAGTGACTCTCCCCCCTAGTGCCCCACGGAGCCTCTCATGGCCAACAGGGGCTGCTGTGGGTCTGGATCAAGAATCCACTTCCCTCGAAACTGCTGAGGTTTCTGAGGGCTACAGGGAGGGGCGAGGCAGAGAAGCAGCATGGGGTTCCTGTGTTCAGAGACCTAGGAAATGATAAACCATATATGATGTCCACTTCCTGCCCTCTCACCTGGCTGGACAGCAAGGGGATACCAGTCTCTTCCAACCCAAACGTGCACTTTCCCCACCCCGCCCCTTCTGCCCAGCTGCCTCGACAGGGATGTCAGGAGAGGGGTGCACACAGTAGGGCCTGGAAGGTTGTACAGAGTCTGAATAGATGATTCTACAGGCCTGGGGAGCCTCTCAGCCCCCTCCCCCATTTCCTCTGGGAAAGGAATGTGGGGTGGGTCCCAGAGGGTGGGGGGGATGGGGCCCAGGGCTGGGAAATACCAGGCGTTGCTGAGATTCTATTCCAAGCCTTCCTGCCTGGTGTGAGTCCTCCTCCCCGGCACCCTCCCCAGCTTCCTCCCCCCAAATCAGGAATTACCCCGCTGAGCAGTCCCTCCCCTCATCCTCTAGTTTGACCAGCTTGCAAAATCCATTCAACTTTATCTTGCTGAGGGTCCCTGGGACAGGGCTTGGGGGCTGTGCCTCCAAGGGGAGGGCATCCAGTCTTCCTCTCTCCAAATTAGATAATCATTCTTTACTGTTTGAAAGCACTTTCACCGGATTTCATGTGGCATTTACCCTAAGAATTGGCTATCCAGGGATTGTGTTACACCCATTCTTCAGATGCAGAAACTGAGGCTCAAAGAGGGCAAGGAGCCTGGCTCAAGATGTCACTTTTACTAAGCTGAACCCCGATCCCAGACTAACTCAGATCCATTTCTATTACCCTCTTGTTTATCCATTCAACAACCACGTCTTGAATGCCTGTCGTGGGCCAGGAGCCAGCCAAGGGCAGGGACACCTTGGAGAGTAAGTACACACCTTGACCTCAGGGTGCTTATATTTCTACTAGCATCCCAGCTTCTGAACCCTTTAGGAGCCCCCAAGTTCCCCATCCAGGCCCGAGCCAGCTGTCTTCATCTCCACCAAGGGAGACCCCCACATACCAAGGGTGCCCCTGTGTCAGAGCCGCATCTCTCTATGAGGGGACAGTTTGCTTGAGGGCAGGATCGGGGGGGGGGGCCTTCCAGGTTAGACCTCCAAAAAGACGGTGGCCTGGGCTATAGAAGCAGAAGACTGCAGGGCCAGCCTGACAAGCAGGAAGTGGGAAAGAGGAGGAGAGCATCCTGGGGCCCAAGGGTCAAGGCATATAAGAAGAGAAGCAGGGGAGCCTGGGTGGCTCAGTCGGTTAGGCGTCTGACTCTTGATCTCAGCTCAGGTCTTGATCTCAGAGTCATAGGTTCAGGCCCTGTGATGGGCTTCACATTGGGCATGGAGTCTACTCACAGAGAAAAAAAAAAAAGGAAGAAGAAGCAAAGAGAGAGAGAGAAGCATACCACTAAAGGCCTATGGTTCAGGAAGTGATGAGAGAGAGGGCTCAGGGTCAATTTGCCTGCTTTTCCTTTCTCTGGCTTACTTAGTGCCTCCTCCCAGAATGTAGATCCCCAAACCATATGACAAACAATGCCCCTACCCGGAGAGAATCATCCCACATTTGTGACTCTCTGACAGGTCCCATATATCCACCACTATAACCACCCCACAATCTCATATGCAGACAGAGCAAATCCACCGCCAGTCCCCGTCCATCCCAGGCATGCAGGCAATGTGATACCCAAGGCATGCCCGCCCAGCCCACGCCTGGGCCTCTGACCCCTGCCCCAGTCTCCCCGCTCAAGGGCAGCCTCCCCCGGTCCTCCTCCACCCCTTTGCCCCATTGAGATGCCTGGTTCCCAGCACCACTTGTGTGCAGTCCTGGCATGCCCTAACAGGCCAAGCCGATGAGCCGGCCCAGCAAGCCTGCGTCTCCAACAAGCTCAGTGTGCCATAACCCTGCGTCACTGGGAGCCTGGGGACCCCACTGGGTCTGGCCTATGGGGCAGAGGGTGGTCCAAAGAGTCTCTCCAGACCCCATGTTCTCCCATCCAGAGCCAGGCTTGCCCTGAGCCCTGAGTTGGGGTGTTTGTGACATCCGCCTCTCCCACCCTCACACTGGGCCAGAGCCGAGGAAGGCTGGAGGAGGAAAGCGGGGAGGGGACACCTGCCCTCCCAGGAGTCCTGCTGCCACCTCAAGGAGGGATCGACACAATCCCAGCAGCCAGAATCCCCTGGTTATTCCAGAGGCAGCATGGCTCAGGGGCTGGCATATGGGCTCTGGAGTCCTCTGGAGTCCTCGACCCCTGGGTCCGAGTTCGATCTCTACCACTTCCTGGCTGTGAGACCTTGGGCAAGTTATTTCACTTCTTTGAGCCTCTGATCCTCACCAATAAAATGGGAATGACACTCATTTCCCCTTCATAGGTTGTTGGGAAAACTAAGTAATTTAAAGAAAGTCCTTAGCACAGGTCCTGAGCACATAGTAGGGGCCCAAGAAATGCAAGCTGGTTCTGGCTGGGTTTTTGTCCTTTAAAACATTTTTTTATTGAGGTATAATTGACACATATATTAGTTTCAGGTGTGCAATCTAATGATTCACTATTTGTATATGTTGCGAAACAATGACCACAATACGTCCACTTAACATCCATCACCACGAGTAGTTACAGAAGTTTCTTTCTTGTGATAAGAATTTTTAAGATCTTACTCTCTTAGCAACTTTCAAATATGCAATTCTGTATTATTAACTATAGTCATCATGCCCTACATTACATCCCCATGACTTATTTATTTTGTAACTGGAAGTTTGTACCTTTTTTTTTTAAGATTTTTTTTTTTCCCCAAGAGAAAGAGAGAGCACGAGCAGGGGTGGGAGGGGCAGAGGGAGAAACAGACTCCCCACTGAGCAGGGAGCCTGATGCAGGGACTGGATCCCAGGACCCTGGGATCATGACCTGAGCCAAAGGCAGATGCTTAACCGACTGCAACATTCAGGCGCCCCAAGTTTGTACCTTTGGACT